GTTCTACAGAAGGGCCCTGGGCTGGCCAGCAACTCTCTGTTCACAATGTTGCTTGTTCTGCTTCTCATTGGCTCCAGCAAATATCACAGTGGAGACCCCATATAGGAAGTACATAACTTTCCATACACATCCTCAAGCATGACCTACAATTTAGCCTTCATTTTTTTTTTCCCTCATGGTATAGGGTTGGAGCCTGTGCTGGGCCCCCCTGGATCTCTGGGCCCTGGTAAATGTACCCTTTTCCTCCCCCATGCTTGGGCCCTGCTCACAGAAGTATGCATTCACTCACTCCCAGAGCAGCTAACTGGTCTATCTACCTATCTACATTCAAAAGCCACAGTGACCCTCTCCACCAGGCTTAATCTTGCCTTGGCCAGACTGATGATGTATATAGTTAGATAATTCAATCACCTCTCCTTCCTAACATCTCCCCTTCCCAATCCCTACTTTAGGATACCTTCTCAAAAGAACTTTTATAAAAGAAGTGGCCTCATTGCTTTATCTAAGAGCAGCTTGAGGAAATTCCACAAGTAATCATAGAAATCACAGAGAAGTAGGGCTGGAAGGGACATCCAGAGATCATCTAGTACAACTTCAATGTCTGAGGCAGGATCATATCTGTCCAAAAAGGTTTCTATTTGCAGCCCTTCCTTATCTCAAAGAAAAAAGGGGTTCTTTGTCTAACCCTAGCCCTGAGGAGACAGATATATCTACCACCTTGGATGCAGAATGGTAATACATACCATGGTAATTCCATGTCTTCGGACCCCAAGTTCATTCATGGCTCTTGATTTGTAAGACAAAAATTCATAAAGCCATCCATTTGGCCCACAGGAAACATGTGCTTCATGGTGGGATCAAATACTTACTAACATAAAATACTGCTATTCAAATTGTCCATGTCACTAAGGTCTCAGGGTGCACGTGGCCCACCTGAGACAGCAAAACATGCATGTCTAACCCTACCTAGGTGATCAGAAGCCAGTTGCAGTCAACAAGCAGGGCCACTTCATTTGGTAAAACACACATCACCCATTGTCTCACCTGTTGATCTTGCAGGAGAATGGGTGACATGTTGTCCTGGGGCTTCAGGACCAGTCCTGTGTGCTCCAGGAATTCCTGCGCAGAATCAGGTGTCTCAAGCCCCAGAAGCACCTGCCTGGCTTTCCCATCTTACAGAAATATGCCCCGGAGAATCTCAGGGCATGCTTCTTTAAGGGGGGAAAGCTGGAACTTCTCAGTTGCAGAGATGATTCCCTAGGCCTAGGGTACATCTCTGCAAAGCAGGAAAGCCAGGGTTTCCCCCAATTACAGAGACACACCCCCAGAAATCCCAGAGATGCATCTCTGTAAGTGGGGAAAGCCATGGAGGTGCTTGAGGGGCCCCATCCTGAGTGGGAATTCCTGAGGTGTAAAGGACCAGGTTGTTCAAGCCCTTGGAGCACCTGTCCAGGGCAACTGGAGAGTGTGGGCAGCTTTGGGCTGCCAGGGTTCTCCTACCACAAGGCAAATAGACAACCATTGCTAAGTAGCTGCATAAATTAATACCACTTTTGTCACATCCACAAATTTGGAGCATTGGTGTTGCAACAAGGGGCATGGAAATCCATTTGCTTAGCCTTTGTGGTGCCATAAAAATGGTTATGGCAGCATAAAGGTGATGAAATGTGATGTCGGTTTCCACCCTGAGTTCAGAACTGCTAGAAATGTTCTTGAAAAACAAAACCAAAGCAGCACACAAAACGAAACGGAACAGCCCTTCTCACAGCTGAGGCTTTTTAGACATAACACGTTTTGGCTCCAGGTAAATGGATTTTTTTTTTTTTTAGTAGAGTTGCATATTAGATATATATTGATAAACAAAACATGACAGGCCAAGTAGCTTTAGTAACAGGAGTAAAATGGTGTAAAGCAGTGTGTTATTTTGAGATTGGGGACTGATTTGAAGTGCATACTAACACTCTGCTGGAATCCAATCTTATCACTGTTTTATCTGCCTGATTAACTGTGCTTTGTTAAGGTGATATATTGCTTTTGTGATTTCTTATTCTTTGATTTTACCAGTGCTAAGTTAGAATTATAGCACTTTAGAATTCTACCTTAGCATTGTATTATTAAATATTTCAGGGTTCAAAAAATACTTTTCATCTTAGCCAATTCCAGCCAAACCCAGTAAGATAAAACTAGTGTAAATACTTAACTGAAAAAGAAAGTGAATAATTGAATTTGCAGCAAAGCACCTCATAAAATGTTGGGATTTTTTTGATAAGAGCATCTGAGTCTAGGGTCACTGCTGGCTGTCTTCCTCCTTCAGTGGAATAAAGGCTTCTACCAATTTATCTGACCCCAAGTGATTTTCTAAAGAAACAAAGCTATAATCATTCTGGTAGCCCTGCAATTGTTGAGGTAGTTCTGACAAACCCGTCCTAAATATTCATTCAGTCTCTGCTCCAGCTTTCAAAATGCCTGGACTTGATGTCACATTGTGGCCGGACAAAAAAAGTATTGCACCTTAATGTGCGACTACTGGCTAGTTGAGCACCACAGCCAGACTGTTCCTGACAGGTCCAGGAAACCCTGATAAAAACGAGGTTCTTGTTATGAGAGTGTCAAAAGGGCTTAGATTTTGTCTACGGTTCAATGCCATCAACGCTTGGCTACTTACTCTATTTCAAGATAGCAGGTATGTTTCTGCTCATCTGTACTAAGATCATTTTTCTGCCTGTCATTTTTCTCACTTGACTGTAAAGCAGTTTATTAATCAGTCAGAAAACCCTTTCATGCATAAAATCTCTACATAATCTTTTTCAGGCTCTCAGTGTCTCCCTTGGAGATTTTCTCCTTCCATGCTTTCATCACCTCATTATGAAAACAGTCTTCCTAGTGGCTATCCTTTCAGCTAGAAGGAAAAAGTGAACTTCAAGCACTTGTGGCTGAACCTTCCAACAGAATACTCCATAGGAACAAAGCATTGCTGAGAACTATCCAGAATTCTTCTGAATTTATCTGAATCAAGCTGTCAAACTAGCCTTCTTTTTTCTGAAATCACATTCAGCTTCAGGAGAGAAGGACATTATGCACAGCTCATGTAATAAAGCAGACTGCTGGATACAGCAATAGACTAGACTATTTAGATCATCACCCCATGTCTCTCTGGCTAGAAGAGGGCCTTCAAAAGACCAAGCTATCATTTCATAGTTTCCAAGTGGATCAGGCAATGAAGTTCTTTGCCTTACCAGTTAAGTCAAAGTACCTCTTCCACTGAATATAAAGACTCACTCTGTAAGAGCTCAAGCAACTTCTTTTGCCTGCTTTAGATTCATGCCAAGCAATGTAACAGGTCTCCAACGCAGGAACATGGAATAACCAACAGACCTTTGTCAAGCAGTATGCCAAAGAGCTACCTGCTAAGTCAAATGCAAGGTTCATGAGAATACCACTATAATCATTATTCAACTGATGTGGCTGAAACTCCTCATTCCCACTATCCTGAGGGGATGCTGTTTGCTGATCATTTACAATGGGGCACAATAAAACATGTTCAAAGAATGAGCAGTCATTTTCTATATAATAAACAAGGTTCAGTGTAGATCCTACAACTCTCCCACCACCCTTGGTTTTTTGGAGACCTTGGCTAGTACTGGCAATGAGTTTCAAGGGAACCTAGGGAAGATCATATTTGCTTTTTCCTTTCCACTCTCATGGAACTATGAAGTTTCAGGATGAATGATGGTTCTGACTGATATTGCTATTAAAAATGCCATCTCTGGTGTATGCAAATCCTACAGTGGCTATAACATGTTTAAAAAACCATAGAGCAGGGTTAATAAATGTTCTTTACCTCACAGCAGAAATATACTCTACTTGTACATTAAACTAAACAGTAATAGATATAGTTTAAGAAAGTTACCATCAGTTTTAATCCTTGTAACACTTCTAGGTAAAATTTGAAAAAAAAGCTGACAATCAGAGTTCTTTTGTATTCCACCTTTCCACCTGGAGCAGAGCCTGGAATAGAAACTTCTTCAAGAAGTAGTTTGCAGGCTTCTTCCAACATCTGTTCATTCCAACATCTGGCATAGGAAAACAGTTCATTATAAAATGGTGTAGAATTTAGATTACATTATCATCACCATCTTCTTAATTCAGAAATGTGCCTGTAATGAGGGTTCTGTTTTATTTTTAACTCACTTTTTGGGAGATGACCAGGTTGCAGTGAATTTGCAGGAGGGATATTTATGAGAATGGTTTGATGAAATGAAATTATAAAGGTTCTCAAACTTTTTAAAAACTTTTTACAATGTATGTTAAATGTGCAGCTGTTTATTCAACATAATACTAAGTGTGTTTCATCTTCAAGGCCTTTGTGTACAGTTGCATACACACTAATTTATACACAATAATTTATATAGTACCTTCCTATAAGTGCTTGGCAGGATTTCTTTGCACAGACAGTGGTAGAGGCAACATTTCCATAAAAAATGCCAAAGTCCATAATAATGTCTGTGCCTGGATCCAAGATGAGTCTCATTCCAGCATTAACAATAGACAGAGCATTTTCCCGCCGCTGAGCCTGGCGGAATGCAGTGACAAATTCACCCTGAGAAAATAGAATGGAACTTTATGACTCACAAAAGTCAATTACATGAAACATTTCTGAAATCTAGCCTTTTCAGATCAATTTAAAAAACAACAAAATAATTGGAATATTACAGATAAATTATATCTCATCAGATCATTTATCACAGGGGTGTCAAAATATCAGGCCTCGTCTAGCCCATGGAGCAACATCATGCAGCCCTCAGTGCTGGCCCTAGGTCTCGAGATGACCCACATGCCACATGTGGCACATGCTGAACTGGTCCCACGCGCAGGGCCCAGAACACACATTGCATATAATGCCTGCTTCAGCACCTGCACTGAATGTGGGATCTGCATAGAGCCAGTCTGGTACCACCTCCCTGCAACATATTGGATCCAGCATTCATGGTACCTACTATGGCTGGTCTGGGATTGCCACATGCAGCTGAAGTGGATACCATAGATCCTGCACCAGCTAGAGTAGGCACTAGATCTGGCATGAGATATATTTATCTGTAATCTGGGGTTGGCGTGGGGGTTTATGGGTCCCCCACATGCTCGATCCAGTACCCGCTCTGGCTGGTCCAGGACACATACCATAAGCAGCATCTGTCCAGGACCAGCTAGATATTTCATGAGAACTGACATTTCATGAGAATTATGGAGGCTGAGGATGTGCACCTATTTATTTTGAGATATAAAGCACAATAAATATTTTTCTAAATGCTTCATTAAATAGTGTTTTTACAAGAATGATTATATCCATTTTATCTTCTTCTTGCATTTAAATATTTGCCAGAAACCATTTACAAAAACACTGACTTTTAAAAATATTATGAGAGGAAAAGCTTACTATAAAGGCATTCTAATCCTTGAATTAGTTACTAACAAATTTAAGGGCATATTCTACCCTTGATCACACAGTGAAAGAAAGAACCACCAGTGCCAACCTGAGTATCAGAAAACACAGAAGAAAGTATCCCTTATTTTCTTAGTGCGTCCTCAAGGATTCCTTAGCACTAATAAATTTGTTACAAAACCAGCTCTCCCTTTTCTTGGAGTAAGAATGCTAGCCAATTAGTTCTGCAGCCTTCCAGCATTTAGAAACTTTAGCCCATTAAATCTAAAAAGCAAACAATTTTCCTTTTAATTACATATTTGTTCACTCTGCACCATCAAATGAAACAAAAGGCAAAACAAGCTCTTACTGTTTTTGAGTAAGGGATGCTAACAGAGACTAAAATCTCTTCTGGTTTAAGAATGGCTTTTCCAAATCCACTTGAAAAATGTTCATTTAAAGAAATCTGTCGTGTTCCACCTGCTGGAGAAAGCAACATGCTCATTCACGATGCAGAGTACAATGATCCACAAACTCCTTATAAAGGAACTAGATTTGGAGACAGGAGTTACCCTTGACCAGGTCCTAAATTACATCTTTGAGGCATTAGATTAATAATCTTAGAAAAAATAATGTAAACTATGGTGCCCACATATCAAACAACTAATATCATCCTATTTATTGCCAGAATAGTAATGCTGCCTCCTCTGACCTGCAATTACCATACCTGCTGTGTCCCAATACAAATCAAGAAACAATTTTCTTTAAGGGGAATGTTACACATCTTACCTTAGCTCAGCAAAGAAAAAAAACCTACCCAGTAGCAAGACAGCAAGGAGGGACTTAAGCTGTCTTGAGAAATAGAAAATACAAGGTTCTTCTCCCTACTGGACAATCAAGGATCATCTTACCCCACCAATTGAAAACATAATAAGAATGGCAACTCAACATTTAGAATAGGCATGGTAAGTGTTCCACAATCTAGAACTTATAAGGCTGATAACACTTAGCAGGGTAGACCTCTTTTCCTCTCTACCACACCTTAAACATCAACTCCCAAAAGACAGGTAGTCAAATGGCTAATAGCCATATAACCTCCACGCAAACTTCAACTGTGATAAAGAGCACAGTTACTTCTCATGGAGTAATTTCAGCTGTGCTGTTCTAATGTAACATAATGGGCTAAACATGGTGAACTGAGTTTTCCAGAAGGCTTGAGACAGCTAAGCAGGCTTGAGTTATAGCATTTGCAGTCTTTCTGTTGTTTAGGTACAAATAAAGCTTTTCCCTTCTCTCTGTACTGTACATAGTGAACTTTAATACATAGCAATTAAAGAATTTTTTTTGCAAAAACCTTGTGGGTCTAATAAAAGATATCTCTACTACGAGTCCTCATTGCCTTTAATACATAGGGCATCTCTTTGACACATCACACTCTGGAGCCTTCCCTATTGCCTCTGCAGCCAGATGCTTCACATACTATATGAATGTCCTGCTCATAGAATTCATTTTATTATTTACTGTTTCGCTTCATAGTTAGTACTTGCACATATACAACATACCTAATGAGGCCAGATTGAGAAGGGAGTTGCTTACTGCTAGAATGGGATTCAAATCTGAGGTTGTATGTTGTTTTATAATGTTTCCACCTAAGGACTGAAAAGAGAAGGAGCTTATTTTCATACTTTGTTCACAATAAACAACTAGTATGAACTAAAATATGGAATATTCAATAGGTTTATCAGTTTAGTGAAATTTGTCAGTTCAAAAGTCATAAGAGGTTCATGCACAGACAGTAAAAATGTTTTTCCTAACCATCCAGTTACTACTGTAATAGTAAATTACATACAGCAATATTCCTGATCTGTTGTCCTCCCAGAGTTTTTAATTGCTGTAAGAGAGCACGAAAAACCTTTGTCTTCTCCTCTGGGATTTCTGAGAGAGTGCTGGTCAGGATGTCTTTCACAAGTGACAGGCTACAGGCAGCTCCTAGAGTAAGCCCTAAAACAAAGTTGTTTAAACAATAAATTGTGAGCAATGCTAAGCAAGACCTTACAATTGTAGTTATAAAATCATGTTATCTGCTGTCAAACTTCATTAAAATGTGATAAACTTCAAACATGATTCTTCCACCCCAGATTTTGATATACCTCAGTTTATAGGGAAAAAGAAAGAAGAAAATACTAAAAAGAGTGTAATATTTATGCCACATTCATACGTGAGCTGTCCCATATTCCTATCAGACTCCTGTCCGTTTAACCCCATGCCTTATACAGATATCTTTTCCTGACATGATATATCAAAGATTTAGGCTTCTCATTCTTTCTTGTGAGATTAGCTGTTCTTTGCTTGTTTGCCACACCATAACTTTTTTCTGGGGGATACACAAGGGCTGTGGGAAGCTTCGCTCCCTGATTCGATCTGGTGGAGATTCGGCCTGATTCGGAGGCTGAATCTGTGAATCTGAATCGAACCAGGAGACCCTTTAATCTATCTGAATTGAATCTGAACCTTCCGAATTGATTCAGAGAGATTTGGAAAGATTAGGCAATTTGGACATAGACACAGCTTTAAATGTTTTTTCTACATGCCTCTAGGTAGCAGGCGGCTCATGAATGCTGCAGTGCTGGAGCATCCCACAGGAATGTGGGGGTCTCCCCAGTGTGCTCAGCAGCAGACCCAAAAGTGGACCAGAAGCAGAATTGAATCATTGTCTCCGATTCGGGTCGAATCTGAATCTGAATTGAATATGGCCTGGTTTCCACAACCTTAGGATACACCTGTTGTTCCAGTTCAGGGACAGAATCCTTCTCTACCATGTGGGAGACCAGGGTTTGATTCCCAGATATGCATATAACTACAGCCATTGAGGCACTGGACTTGGTCTGGCATCAGTGGTCTAATGTGGGGATGATAGGTCTGGGCAGCCTCCACTCCTCCATACTTCTGCCTAGGTATACGTGTTGATGGTCCCGGTGACCTCTCAGGGATACACTGTGATCTAGAAAGATTGACGGTTGCTTACTACTCCTTTTCTGTTTGTCTGTCCCCCTCATTCTTCAGTGCCTCAGACCTGTTTCACAACTCTGTTTCTTCTCTACTACCTTGTAGCTTCCCCTGCATTGAACATAAGTGCCATATTAAGTCAAACCAAAGGCCCAGCTATCACAGTATCTTGTCTCTCTCAGTGAGAGAGTGAATGCTAAGTGAAAAAATACTCAGGACCTGTCCAGACTAATCTAGCCCCTGTGGCTCTTTCCCCACAGCTTCCAGCATTCAGAACTTGTAGCTCTACCACCAAAGGCTCACCAAGGGCATTCAGGAA